TAGGCGCGTTGGAGAATGCGTAGCACATCAGGGTGCATCCACACAATATTAAAGGTCAAAGGGCTTTAAAGCAGTGCAATCATTTTGAAATTTTTATCATTTACTTATTATGCTTCTTTAAGTACTAATACAAAATTTTATTAAAATAAAACCATTTAAACTGCGTGTTCGGATTTATATGTCACTTAGTATATGCATCTATTAGACGTATTTCACACATCATAGATTCCCTCGGATGCACATTTGCTCTGTAAGCTTTAGAGAAATATTTTCAACGAACACGTCACGACACAGCATTGTTACAAAAATGTAGGTATACCTGCGACGGTGTTTGACCAATGAATGGCTGACAAGTGACAAAATTAGACATAGCAACGATTCCAGATTGCCGGTCTATTCAATAAGGTAGGGGAGAAATTTCTAGAACGCAACGTTGTCAAATAGATGGGAAGTATGAACTAGTTATATCTGCCTGTTTAACTAACTTGATGCATTTATTTTTCTGGTTATACATGTTTATAGCTAACCTTTTTCTCAGCGGTACTAACCGGTGCCGAACTTAATCCTTTATGAACTAATGATAACGTTGATGCCTGGGAAGTGCAGAGTCAACCTACTTGACGCCATTCGTATGCCCATCTGTCAAGGCATACACGTCCTTGTTCACGTGCCCATTACAAGAATTCCAAATTAATGAATCGTATATAGAAACTCAAAGCAAATGAAAAATGTAAATGTCAAATTTCTTTTATAAGCCAATTTGAAGATTAATAACTATTCTCGTATTTTCTGATGAACACACTTCTTATTTATCTGATTAATCCGTCGATACATAGCTAACACTGAGATTCCTTACTAGAATCCAGTATATGCTCATAATCGTGACAGCATCTATAAAAGATTCGCTGTAAGTTATTGCTGTAATGATTTCGACTGCCTTCATATCTTTTAATTGGTCTTTCACATATTGATGTATATTATGTATAATGAGATCGTGTAACACAGTTGTGTAATTCGGGTCATTCGTTAAAGGTGTAGTAGTTTTAAAGGGCATCCTATGGGTTATCCTTTCTTTATTCCCAACTTTTTGTCAAAGAGGAAGTCGTCGCTAGTCTTCTTTTTTCCAGCTGATATTTAGAGAAGAGCTTCTGGTATTTTTTTATATTGATAGCTGAGGCGTAAAGACTATAATAGTGAGGTAGATGTCTTATGAACTCTGTTTTTAAATTGCCAAAGATTGGTACTTTAGAACCGATGAAAATCAAACAGGGGTTCCAGTAAAATGATACGAGTCCCCCGGGTTACAGGGGCTCCGGCAATGTAAGAAAAAATTCGTAAATTTCACAATCTTACGCAAGTCTTCAGGTGTCAAATACATTTACAATACGAGGGATGTCTTTTAAGTTTTGCATATAGAAACATAGTAGGCCGCGCGGATCGAACGTCAGTACTGAATCTTAACCTTACTCTTTAGTAAACTTAAATTCAAAGTTTCACAACGATCCGTGCAGTGTTCTCACTGCAGTGAATTTTTAAGTGTCACTAAGCCATTAGAAAAATGGAACTCAATCGAGAACATCAGTCGACAATTTTTCGTTGGTATAAAGAATTCAAACGGCAGTCACCCAGGAAAACGTCGATGCTGTGCGCAAACTCATCATTGAAGATAGACATGTGAGATATCGCGAGATTGAGGCGTCCTTGAAGATCTCAAAAACCTCATTTCAAAAAATTTTACATAAAGAATTAGGAGTAAGAAAATTAGTTTCTCGTTGGATACCCCACCTGTTGACTGAAGAGCAGAAAGCAGCCAGGGTTAATTGGTGTCAAAAACGCTTAACTGAGCAAAGAACTGTTACTGCGGATTGGTATACCACCATTTGTTTGCCAAGAGTCATCACCGAGCTTCAAAAAATCCACCCCAAAAGAAGAATCATCCTCCACCAAGACAACGCAAGCTCGCACACGGCCCAAGAAACAAGGCAGTATTTAACGGAAGAAACCTGGAATCATTGGACCATCCTCCATATAGTCCCGATCTAAGTCCTAACGATTTCTTTACTTTCCCGGAAATTAAAAACAGACTGTATCGTCAAAGGTTCCAGTCACCAGAAGAAGCAGTTGACGCATTCAAAAATACCGTTTTGGATCTGCCAGTAGACGAGTGGACTAAGTGTTGCGAAAATTGGTTCGAGGGTATGCAGAGGTGTATTAATCTTCGTGGAGAATACTTCGAAAAACAATAAAGTCATTTAAAACTACCTACCATGTTGTTTTATTTCCATATGCAAAACTTAAAAGACATCCCTCGATGTCACCGTTACACCAACGGGCTTTCTTCGTCCATGAAAATACTGGCCGATACGACCACTCCGTTGTCCAGAGGATGTCGGGATTGTGGAACAATCTACAAGAGAAAGCCTTTCCCAGTTCCACCAACGTTAGGCAGTTCAATAATCGGATTAACAAAATTTCTTTGGGATCCTCATCGCAGCCGCGGTGTCCTGGTGTTTAGGCTTCTGCCTACGCGGCGGCTTATATATATATATATATATAAAAATATTATATGGATAATTTAATTAATATATTTGTAGATTGAATTGGCACTTTATACGTATACACATATCATACTTTCAAATTCTTAATACATGCAAATTGCAAATTAGTCAAAGATAAGCCTTGCTAACGGTTGAAATTATATAGCTAATTATTATGTCTTTGAGTTTGCTCTAACCTAAAGTGGTCTGCAACATAAAAATCAAGTTTTCCAATGTGTACACCTCCAACAAATTTTTTTGTCACATCAAAAAAGGGTACGAAAGTTTGGCAATGATCTAAAGCAGATTTGCCTTTTGCTCATAATACTTCTACTACTTCAACAATTTTTTAGCTATTATGGTATCGCATCATGCTGCTTCCGAAATTTTATCAAAATCGGTGCAGCTGTTTCAGAAAATGAAAAATAATAATGAAACTTGTTGCTTGAAACTCCAAAATCCATGCTTAGTCATTACGTAGGTATTTTATTCCATGTTAACGTTTTTGTTTCTTGTGTGAAAGAGTTTGACCTGGAATTCTACCTTCTATTTTTGATTCGCCACAATTAGGACCAATTTTTGAGGCATGGAACTGCACCAAAGTGTTCCATATCCGAACGATGCAAAAGGAAAGAAAAATGAGTATTTTGAATAAGAGATAAGTTGGTACCACACAACTGCTTTGGTATCTAACCTGTCTAGTTTTAACTTTGAATCATAGAACGGTGAGGATTTTAAATACACTAAGTGACATATAAATCCGAACACCCAGTTTAACTGGTTTTATTTTAATAAAATTTTGTATAAGTACTTAATGAAGCATAATAAGTAAATGATAAAAATTTCAAAATGATTGCACTGCTTTAAAGCCCTTTGACCTTTAATAATGTGTGGATGCACCCTGATGCACGCATTCTCCAATGCGCCTAGGCATGCTTCTGATCAGGTGGTCAATGTCCTCCTGTGGTATCTCATTCCAGGCAACCACCAACTCCTCTCGAAGTGCTTCTAGTGTCTGAGGAGGACGTTGCAAATTGAGAAATCCCCTACCCATCATATCCCACACGTGCTCAATTGGGGATAAGTCGGGAGATCTTGGTGGCCATGGTAACAATGTGACATCATTATGTTGAAAGAAGTCTATTGTGACTCTTGCAACATGTGGTCGGGCATTATCTTGTTGGAAAGTTGGATCTGCCAGGGTGTCAAGATAGGGTAAAAGATGGGGTTCTAGAACTTCGTGGATATAACGCCGGGCGTTCATGTTACCTCTGATGAAGATTAAAGGTGACCTGTAACCATAAGCTATAGCACCCCAAACCATAACTCCAACAGTGTGATGAACATGTCTTTCAACAAAAAACTGTGGATTCCTCCTTTCACCACGTCGCCTTCTAACCCTGGCACGACCATCGTGCATGCCTAAACAAAATCGAGACTCGTCACTAAAGACAATACTGTTCCATCCCAGAGTGACCGTTGTCTGCACCACTCAAGGCGATTACGTCGGTGTTCTCGAGTTAAAGGGAGGACCCAGTGTGGCCGGTATGAAAACAAGCCAAAACTTCTCATTCGTCGGTAAACACATCGCATGCCAATAGGTCTTCCGTGTTCTGCAAACCATTCATTTGCAATGGACCTGGTAGTGGAGAAACGGTCTCTTAAGGCCAATCATCTTAGGCGACGATCTTCACGGTCTGTTGTTCTACGGCGGCGTCCAGTGCCCCTTGCTCTTTGCGTACGGCCTTCTCGAAGCCATGCCTGACAACACCTAACCACAGTGTCTACACTTCTTTGCACTCTAACTGCAATTGCCCGAAAAGAAAGTCCAGCTTCCCGAAGTCCCACTATACGGCCCCTATCGAACTCACTAAGTTGACGAAATCGTACAGGTCTCCGTACTCTAGGCATCGTAACCGATCGTAAAGGATGTCAAGAACCAAAATCCGCCAACGTTGATTCTTTACTGCGGCTGAAATATTCATTTTTAGAGCGTTAGTGAATTAAAAAAAAGCAGTATAAAAACCAGAATGTCCAACTGATAAGGCTGAAAATTTTTTCACTTGTTATTTACAGTGAGATAAATACATTCACCAACTTTTATTAAAATAAAACCATTTAAACTGGGTGTTCGGATTTATATGTCACTTAGTATATTTTGAATAAGAGATAAGTTGGTACCACACAACTGCGTTGGTCTCTAACCTATCTAGTTTTAACTTTGAATCATAGAACGGTGAGGATTTTAAATAATGCACCTCTCCCATGGATGGGACATTTTCTGTGGTGGTGACCTAAGGAATGCCAGGCAACCAGAAAAGCAGCTTCTAGTATCATGTGTGATCAATATCCCAACATGCCGCACAACTTGTATATCGAATAGATTGGTCAGGAAGTTGATAATACGTTCTTCGACTGCACAATCTCGGGGAAAGTCAGCTGAAAATGACATAGGATATATTCATGATTAATGACTGACTAACCAGAGATCTTAATTTTTGATTTATTATCGTAATTGGTTTTCATAAAATTGTATCAACACTAATTCGTAGGTAACTATAGCTCCGGCAATCTGAAACAGAAAATTTAGCCTAGAATAACTACACTTATTTAGATATTCAACTTACTTTCAGCATCAGGCTCCTAGTAATGTAGAAAAAATGGTTACCTGTGAGTGACAAAGGGCATGTCAGTACATACTGTATTAACCTTTCTGCCTACAAGAATATCATTGCATTTGTACGTATAAGTATATAGAATCGACAGACAATCATTGAGGTCACCTAATGTATGACATAGAAGTTTTACAGAACTGTTTTGAAAACTATGTTATTCCTTACATACTATCAGTCATTATCAGTTAGCACTGCCGTGACACTTCGATAGAAATTACGTATAAAAACTGCCCCTAAACCTCATAAGACTATAATGAAGCGACCTTCGCTCTTTTTGGTTCCAAAATTATATGAACACGTACCCAAAGACTTACAAATATAATTATTTTAAAATCAATTTATCAAAATGGATACCCTCGATAGAAAGACAACACGTTATTGAACGTATATCAAATCTCTGTGATATACAATTTTCTTTATGTTTCTTTTCACTTTCTGTTTTGTTTTTTGAATGTACAGGCATTGCCCTTTTGTGAATAAAAACATTTTTACTTACCCATTCTACATTGTTATATTATAGAATAAATAATTGTCTGCTACCAGAATTGACCTCTGCGTAGCTGAACAGTGACTCTGGTAACAGATGGCGCTTTGTGGTGTCTTCTTTTGATAGATCTCGTACCGCGAATATAGAATAGTTGCTATGCTTTCGTGTGTTGTACACCTGAGACCAAGCCTAGTCTATTCTGATGAGCTGCCAAAACAGCTATCCAATGTTGGCTGTCTGTGGTACGTCTCCCCCATAGACATTAAATCTGGGACTTCAATGATTCTCTGCTGATCGTGTGTAAATGTTTGACAATCTCTTGATCAAACACAAGAGCTGTTACTCAACTGGTTGAGAGTCCTTGCTGTTACTCAACTGGTTGAGAGTCCTTGATAAGTTATCTTCATAGAAAATCGATATAATCGCGATTTTATTTTTCTTTTGCTGGAAAAAGATTTAACTTACCTCAGCATTATAGGCTTCAGATGGTATCGAATTCAAATAACACCCAATATTGGCCCACTCTTCATATACGTTGCCTCCAAATACACAGATACACGCAATCCTGATACTGATAAACAAAACTGACAACAGGAAGTAGGCTTTTTTCACGACATCTGCCGTTTGTTTCAAACTCGAGAATAGTTGGATTAGGATGAAATACAAATTGAAGAGGAACGATACGATGATAGTGTTAGATAAATGTCTGTTGGTGGTTTGGCAGAGCTTGAAGAGTTTTGAGTAGTCGTTTCGGACTGATTGCCATGCTTGTTTATCATTTATCTGAAAAATAGTTTCAATCAAAAATGTACTTTCAGAATATGTCATCAGTTTCTTGATATACTTAATGATAGATCGTAATTAAAATCGTGCATTCCTGAATCAAAAATTAAGTAAAAAGGTTCATATAAACATTAGGGTGTCCCAGCCTTTGAGTGCAAACAAATTTTTGAAATTTTATGGTTGCTTCAATAATATAAACAGCATTTCTCTTACTTAACTGACATCTATCGTGCTGCCACTAATTTTTATTTTTTTTTTATATCGAAACAGCCGCGCAGGCAGAAGCCTAAATGCCGGAACACCGCGGCTGCTATGATGATCCCAAAGAAATTTTGTTAATACGATTTTTGAACTGCCCAAGATTAGTAGAACTGGGAAAAGCTTCCTCCCGTAGATTGTTCCACAATCTAGACACCCTCGGGACAAAGGAGCGGTCGTATCGGCCAGTTCTGGATGTACGAAGTTTGACACGGTTAGGATGGGACGCCGAAGTCAGGCGGGTCTGTCTGAGGCACATCGCGCGGCGGCATCATGGAAGAGAGCTCTGAGGAGCAAAGTCCGTTGGTGTAGCGATAGAAAAGAGCCAGATCGCCGACGGCCCGCCGGTGCGAAAGAGTTCCGAGACTGTCTGTTAGAGAAGAGTCATCGATCAGTCGGACCGCCCTCCTCTGGACAGCATCGAGCATGGACAATGTAGTCGGGGCGGCAGCACCCCAAATGTGTGAGCAATACTCGAGACTAGGCCTTATCTGGGCCTTGTATAGAGTGAGAAGGTCATGCGGAGAAAAGTACTTCTTAGCCCTAAACAAATAGCCTAGCTTTTTCCCAGCAGCTGCAGCTATTGAAGAGATGTGTTCGTGCCAGATCAGGTCCTCGGTGATCTGGACTCCGACCAGCCGAAATGAATGGCTCTTTGGTAGAACTCGACCGTCCATCGAGACTGTATGAGCGCTAGGACGCTTTTTGTTCGTCAAAGTACAGTACTGTGTTTTGGAAGCATTGAACTGTACAAGATTGTTGCGTCCCCAAGCAGTGATAGCCTCCAGGTATCTTGTCAGAGAAGAAGTCGTCGCTAGTCTTCTTTTTTCCAGCTCAGCGGCAGAGATCGGCTTGTCACTCTGAATTCCTGCATGTAGAGTGCTGTCATCAGCGAAGCTGTGGATTGGGTTGATCGTGCAGGAAAGGAGGTCGTTGATATGTAAGAGAAACAGTGTTGGAGCCAAGACCGATCCCTGGGAAACACCCGCGTTGACGTTGTGGGATGAAGAGGAGAATCCGTCAATTACGACGGATATCTTGCGGCCAGAGATAAAGTCAGCCACCCATCTGCAAAGCTTTTCTGGGAGGCCGTAGGATGGAAGTTTGCTCAAGAGGGCAGCGTGCCACAGCTGATCGAACGCTTTCGTGATGTCAAGAGCAACGACATGAGCCTCACCATGAGACTGGATGAGTTTACTCCACAGTTGCGTGACGTAAGCTAGGAGGTCCCCTGTGGATCGTTGGTGCCGGAAACTGTACTGCCTGTCGCTAATCAAGCTGTGACGTTCGAGGTAGTCCAGAAGCTCGCGATTTATGCACCTCTCCATCACTTTACTTATAACAGAAAGCAGAGCTATAGGCCTGTAGTTGTAAGGGTCGGTTTTAGATCCTTGTTTTGGGATGGGCTGTACATGAGCAAATTTCCAGTTTTCTGGGAAGGTGCCGGATTCATAAGATATCTGGAAGAGACGCGAAAGAACTGGAGCAAGCTCAGCTGCACATCTCTTCAGTACAATGGCAGGAATCAAGTCCGGACCAGAAGCTTTGTTGATGTCGAGCGACAAGAGCACTCGTCTTACGGTCTTATGCCTGAATGTTACCTCCCGCATAGTGTGGGGAACCATTTGAATTGACGGCACTTGGGCGTTGGTAGGGACGTCCATGGTGGAGTTGGCAGCAAAGATCTTGGCTAGCACTTCCGCCTTGGCCTTTGAGTCGAATACAATAGTTCCATCCTGACACGTAAGTGGTGGAAGGCTACTGTGTGAGAAGTTCTTTTCAATCTGCTTGGCCAGCGTCCAGAAAGACCGACTGCCATTGCGCTGCGACATTACCCTGTGCCTAACTTTTATATCATGCTGGGTTTTGGCATTGCGAACCGCTTCGTTATATTTGTTTCTGGACTCGACGTCGGCTTGTCTGTTCTCTACAGTGGGGTTTTGTAAGTAGGTTCTGTGGGCCTTGATCTTCTGCTGGCGAGCAGTGTCACACGATTTGTTGAACCAGCCGATGGACCCTGGTTTAGGAACTTTCACTGTGTGAGGGATGTATTCCTCCATTCCGACGTGGATAATTTCGGTTATTGAAGAACAGACAGTCGACGCATCCGCGTCAGTGAAACAGACATCTCTCCAAGGAAAGCTAGAGAAGAAGTCTCTGAGCCCCTCCCAGTCGGCATGTCCGTAATGCCAAGTTTTGCGGCCTGTTCTGCCATAGCGGCTTCTGACCGAAACCTAACCTCCACAACACCGTGATCTGAGTTACCCAGGGGGGACAGGACAGCAGTGCTGTAAGGGGCAGGATGCGTGGTCAGAAAGAGATCCAGCAGGCTACTGGCGTGTGACGAGACGCGAGGGAAAAAAGTAGGGCTCGTCACCAGCTGGGTCAGCCCTTGAGTAAGAGCGAACGCTTCGACTGCACGACCTGCTGCATCGGTCTTATTTGAGCCCAACCAAAGCTCATTATGGGCATTGAAATCACCGAGAAGAACTACCTCTGAAGCGGGGTGATTGATGTTCAGGAAGTCGATCTGGACGGCGAGGTATTCGAGTAGGTCATCCCAGTTATGGTTCGAGGGAGAGCGATAAAGGCAGCAAATAAATTTGGGTGATGTTTTGGAGTTGAGGCGAAGCCACAGAATGTCCTTCCGGTCTGATTCCAAAGAAAGATCCCTGGAGCAGGAAAGACTGCTGCGGACAAAAGCCACAACTCCCCCGTTCTTTCTCAGATTGGAGTGCACCTCGTAGTTTGGGAAGTTGAGATGGTTGATCGGTGCAGTCTCTGAGATTTTTGTCTCCGCCAAGAAGAGCACGGCGGGACGATTGGATTGCAGGTAGTGATGAACAGCATCAATGTTGCTGTTGATCCCGCAGATGTTCGAAAAACAAATTTTATCTTCGATGTTGTTCCCTCGAGCCCATTTTGAAGTTTGATCACTATCAGGTTGTTTTAGAGTGGTACGCCTTTTAAGAAAATAACTTTCATTTTTTTTGGACACCCTAATGTATATTGGAAAGATTACTTTAGATATAGTGTGAATACCTGTTTCTGAGACAGCGTTTGCACCTTTCGACAAAATTGGTTCACTCTAAATGTCACAGCTGAACCAACTAGCATCACGAACACATCGGCATAGCTCCATAGAAACGTTCTCTGAAGATTTGTCAACTAAAATGACGACAGAACAGCTAGATTGTTACATTTTGTAGCATTCAAAAGGAGTTTGAAAAGCATTTTCATGCATACCTGAACAAGGAGTCCTAACGAAAATGAATATTCTACAGCACCAAAGATATGTGGATATCCCGATACAAAATACTGTTTGAAAGCTTCATTGATGTCTTCTGTTTCCTCTATCCAAGCCTTGAGCTTGTGAGCATTCACTAGGCCATGCTCCACTACATAAATTACGAAAAAAATTGTCAGTTACCAGAAAAATAACAACAGAACCCCCTTTTTACATCGGAATTGAGAAGAGGAAATATAACGTTTAAATATATCGTTCAAAACAATTCGATACCACAGCTGTTATGTTTGATATGACCTTGACCTTCAGGACATGTCTAGCTTAAATGTTATTTTAGCTCAAGGTCACATGGCGGCCTAGCATGACCTGCTTTTTCCATCTTCAGTATAAGAATGAATGGCTTCCTTTGTGAATTTTTACTTGAAGCTCGGGGTTGTGGTCACGATCACCATCCCCACAAACCTCACAACTGTGCTGTCGAACATTTTTGCTAGAGCAGATTGTTTTTGATATCATGAAATGACCTTGAAGGCCACTGGCATGGTCAAAGTGATCTTCAGACGTTGAATTTCGTCCTGTCTTCAATTCCGATGTGAGAAAGTGAGGATTTCGTTTGAAAATATTCGCTTGACCTTGGAATGGTCTCTCAGTAAAAAAATGCAGGCATGAGCTTCACAATTAGAAAATTGGCAACTCATGACATTTCAAATCTTCATTCTTCGCAAGTGATTTCATCATAAGTATCGGTTTTCATAATTGCAGGTGTATGAGCGGTTATTCAAGGACTTTTAAACTCTATTTTCTGTACCTACCTGCTGCTGTCAGCATAAGGCAAATAGTAATACGATGCACTTTCTTCCTAAGATCGTAAGAGATTTCGTAATTGGCCATTTTTATTTCCACAATCTCCCATTGCTTTGTAAAGCTTTGCCAATGTCAGGCAAGTCGGAAAAATAGAGCTATATGTATCAACATTTCTAAATGAAACACAAACAGTGCTGAAAATTCATAAAATATAAAAAATGTTACAGAGATGTAAAGCTAAATATAAAAATCTATAATTCTAGAGACTCTACGCTAGAGGCAAACAAGTTTTAAATAAATGATAATATAATTTAGCTGCTGTTCCATTTTTTTCCGCTTACCAACTGTTATAAAATTGCTTTCTTCGGCTCGTATAGCATCAACACATACAAACAGAAACTCAATACAAAATGTAAAAGACACCAATGCGCTATATACAATCATCCAATGCCATCCTCCAAACCATCTACTCTTCTTACTCACTGGAAGCCTTTCAGGAAAGTATCCAAAACATTGAGCTAGTCGTATTGGCTTTCTCATAGCATATCGGAACATACTCGAGTCTACAGTCGACTTCAACAGAAGCTGTGGTTACTTGGTTCATTCTTTATTTCTGACAGCATCTCTGTAAGAGAAATCAATACCAATATTCAAAATTAACTCATTTTTCCCCAGACTTAGCTAATGACTCCGCACACCCCTTATCCTTCTTAAAATTGTCTGGTTCTGGGTTATCAGACCTAAAAAACGTACAAAACTGACACTGTGACTCAAGAGCTAAGGTCCACGGACCGCTCTGACAACCAACGATGACTTGAACTGACACCCCTTATCCTTGTTCCCGTCCCTCTTTTATGCCTTTCTCCCTTTCTCCTGTTTTTCTTATCCCGTCTCATTCCTTCCGTTACTTTCACGGAGCTGGTCGGAAGGGCTTTCATGTCTAAGGGCATGGAGAGGAGTTCTAGGAGAGTGCTATTCCCGTTCTTATAAGTTTCGATTTGGAGGAAGGGCTGCAGTGTCTGGGGAAGGGATGACCTTGCCTTCTTCCCCTTCCTTCTTCCTTCCTCCTTCTTCTTCTTTCTCCTTCTTCCTTTCTTTTTCCTTTCTTCTTCTTTTCTTCTTTTTCTTCCTTTCTTCCTTCTTCTTTCTCTTCCTTTCTTCCTTTCTTCCTTTCTCCTTTCTTCCTTTCTCTCTCCTTTCTTCCTTCTTTCCTTCTTCCTTTCTTCCTTTCCTTCTTCTTTTTCCTTCTTCCTTTCTCCCTTTCTTCCTTCTTCCTTTCTTCTTCCTTGCTCCTTGCTTCCTTGCTTCCTTGCTTCCTTGCTTCCTTGCTTCCTTGCTTCCTTGCTTCCTTTCTTCCTTTCTTCCTTTCTTCCTTTCTCTTCCTTCTTCCTTTCTCCTTTCTCCTTTCTCCTTTCTTTCTTCTTTCTTCTTTCTTCCTTTCTTCCTTTCTTCCTTCTTCCTTCTTCCTTTCTTCCTTTCTTCCTTTCTTCCGTTCTTCCTTTCTTCCTTTCTTCCTTCTCCTTTCTTCCTTTCTTCCTTTCTTCCTTTCTCCTTTCTCCGTTCTTCCTTTCTTCCTTTCTTCTTCCTTCTTCCTTCTTCCTTTCTCCTTCTTCCTTTTCCTTCTTTCTTCCTTTGTTCCTTTGTTCCTTTGTTCCTTTCTTCCTTTCTTCCTTTCTTCCCTTTCTTCCTTTCTTCCTTTCTTCTTCCTTTCTTCCTTTCTTCCTTTCTTCCTTTCTTCCTTTCTTCCTTTCTTCCTTTCTCTTCCTTCTTTCCTTTCTCCTTTCTTCCTTTCTTCCTTTCTTCCTTTCTTCCTTTCTTCCTTTCTTTCTTTCTTTCCTTTCTTCCTTTCTTCCTTTCTTCCTTTCTCCTTTCTTCTTCCTTTCTTCCTTTCTCCTTTCTCCTTCTTCTTTCTTCCTTTTTCATCCTTCTTCCTTTCTTCCTTTCTTTTCTTCCTTCTTCCTTTCTTCCTTTCTTCCTTTCTTCCTTTCTTCCTTCTCCTTTCTTCCTTTCTTCCTTTCTTCCTTTCTTCCTTTCTTCCTTTCTTCCTTTCTTCCTTTCTTCCTTTCTTCCTTTCTTCCTTTCTTCTTTCTTCCTTTCTTCTTCATTCTTCCTGTTCTCCTTTTTCCTTTCTTCCTTTCCCCATTCCTTCCTTCTCTGGGATTTGCGCAACAAGACATAACCGACCCACTAACCTACATTTGAAGCCCAAGCATGTGAACGGGATTTCGAGCAAAGGTTTTAGACCAGCACTGATCTGAAATCCGACAAGCCAAATGGAATGCTGGAAAAAAATAGAATTCTCTCGACTTGCTAGCCTTACCTAATACTGAAATCAAAATAAAAGAAGTCTATAGTGATTGCACTTGTTTCTGGATCATTGCGGGAACAAATCACTCTCAAACGAAAAATCACTGGAAAACAGCTTTGATAACAAATAGAAGCTAATGGTTTCCTAAGTAATAAATATTGATAGATGAACAATTTGGTTGGTAAGAGGATTGCGGTGTGACCAAGTAGTAATAATGTGCTTATATTTAGATGTTATTCATGTAGTGTTTGTTCATAAACAAAAGACTGGATCTAATAGGTTTGCTTCAATGTGGTTATGAAGACACGGGAAATATACGAGGCGAGATCAAAGAAATACGGTGAATAATTTTATTCCGAATAAGATCTTCAGCCTAAAACAGATTTGAGTATTATCTCATTGATCATCCTAACGGTGATCCCATGATTCACTTCTGGAAGGCTCCTTTCGGAGTGCGTTGACCTGTTCTGTCTCGGGAATGGTGTCAACACGTTTTCCTTTCAAGGCGATTTTTGTTTGGGAGGACTCAGAAATTGCACAGTGCCAAGTCTGGAGACTAAGATGGACGCAAACAGACAGTAATATTTTCTTGTCAAAAATTCGACAATTGAAGCAATGTGTGACACAGTGCATGCAATGAAAGAGGAAAAAATGTGTCCATCATTTCGAAAACATTGTAGCGAGCCATTGTAATATCCGAGGATTACATCTCTATCAAGGAAACCCATAGAGAATGACCTGTGACTGACGTGTCTTCTTAGGAAGAGAGGTGCTCGTTTTCCATTGGAAGCTTTGCATCTTTGTTTCATGGTCATGGCTATACACACTCACCTTTTATCTCCAGTTATAATTTTGGTCATCAAGTCTGTATTAAGCAATCATTCATTTGAGAGCAAACTAACACAAGATTTTCATCTGCTCGTCACTCAAAAGTCTAGGAACACATTTCGCACTAACTTGTTTCAATTGCTAATTACACTGGTCAACAGCCAAAAAATATCCTAAATAAAATCAACAAAATATTACTATTTTTAATGTGCTAAAACCGAAATGAAACTTATTTTTTCAATATTAGTTCAAGTTTTAGAGATACGGTAATTATATGTGTTCCTGCTGTGACAGTGTTAATTTACTGTAATTCACAAGAATGCACGTGCTACATTTTTATATTCGGCAAGGAAAGATGATGTAATCGGCATGATTGTGTTACGTTATACATACGTGTACATTATATTGTTTTATATTAGCCATTTTTTCCTCAGTTGGCTGACAGCGTTCATGCAAGATGTCTCGAAAGTGTGTAAACAATTCAGATCAGTTTTGTTACGTGTGCGGTGATGTGACTTTTGCGTCTCAGAGGTCTATTACTCCACTAATAACAAAGGCATATCAGCTTTATTTCGGTTGTAAACTAGGTGATCAAGATAAACAGTGGGCACCCCACATCTGCTGTAATGCATGTGCTTCAAGTCTGAGGAGCTGGTTAAATGGCAAAAAACGGTCTATGCGCTTTGCTGTCCCAATGGTTTGGAGAGAGCCTACAAATCATATTAATGATTGTTACTTTTGCGTGGTACCCTGTGTTGGACAAGCCACAGGTATGTCCAAGAAAAAAAAATCGGATATTAACTACCCAAACATACCATCTGCGATGAGACCTGTGCCTCACAGTGACGAAAATCCTATTCCAAAACCCCCAGAATCCTACACTTGCGAATCAGAAAACGAATCAGATCATGGCGATCGAGTGATTAGTCAGGAAGAAGATATGCCATCAACGTCAAGAGATCCTGATTTTATACCGAGCACGTCATGCCACCAACCGCACAAAAATAACACAGCCAGAATTAAATGATCTTGTTAGAGATTTAGAACTTCCAAAATGTAAGGCAGAGTTACTTGGATCAAGACTGCAGCAGTGGAACTTGTTAGAAGACGATGTTTCGGTATGTGTTTTTCGTAAACGCCACAAAGACTTAGAACCATTTTACAATATGGAGAATAACTTGGTTTTCTGTAGTAACATTAACGGCTTACTGGCGGCTTTAAATATAAACTATAACCCAGAAGAACGGAGATTGCTTATAGACAGTTCAACATTGAGTTTAAAGGCAGTGTTATTGCATATTGGAAATATTTTACCATCTCTTCCTGTAGGGTATTCAGTTCACATGAAAGAATCAGATGACAATATGAAGTACCTATTGACATGCATAAAATACGATGAGCACCAATGGCATATTTGTGGCGATTTGAAAGTTGTTGCACTTTTACTTGGGCTGCAGCTAGGCTACACAAAGTTTGGCTGTTTTTTGTGTGAATAGGACAGTCGGGCAAAGGCACTTCATTACACCAGACAAAACTGGCCTGTTCGTCAATTCCTAGAGCCAGGTCAAAAAAATGTACAGCATATGCCATTAGTAGATTCGAAAAAAATGTTATTACCACCACTGCATATCAAGTTGGGCCTATTGAAAAACTTTGTCAAGGCATTAGACAGAGATAGGTCAGCTTTTCAATACCTGCGTCAGAAATTTCCAAGACTAAGTGAGGCAAAGGTTAAAGAAGGTATTTTTGTTGGGCCACAGATTCGAAATATTTTGAAAGATACACAGTTTGAAAACACTTTAACAGGTATTGAAAAAACTGCTTGGAATGATTTCCGTCTGGTGGTCACTAATTTCTTGAAAAATAGAAAAGCTGACAACTATAAAACCCTTGTCAAAAATATGCTGTCATCGTATCAAAAGATGGGCTGTAGTATGTCTCTTAAGATACATTTCCTACACTCACACCTGGACTTTTTTCCTGACAATTGCGGAACCGTAAGTGATGAGCACGGCGAACGTTTTCATCAGGATATTTCAACAATGGGAAAAAGGTACCAGGGAAAGTGGAATCCTTCCATGCTTGCAGACTACTGTTGGACTCTTGGTAGAGATGCTCCAGAAACGATCCATAAAAGAACAGCAAAAAGACAGCGCATATAGTGATTCTTATAAGTATATGAATCTTGTTACTTCTTTTAATATATCCTTAAAAATAAAAAGTTTTTTTTCTAAACCGCAACTAATTTTTTTATTTCATTGTCATTTTTGGATTCAGCGCCCCAAAATTAACAAAGAAGTGCACTTTTCCCACAAGATACAATTAAAAAACTAAAATTTGTTGTCCAGTGTTATCGGTTAAAACGCTCTGTGCGGGCCAATACAAGGTGTTTACTTTTTCGAAAATATCCCCAATCGTCAATTGCCTGTTTGATTGAAGCATTTTTGCCTCTTGTTTACATGTTTTCGTTGTTTTTTTGAGGCCAAAATTGGTCTCGACCTTTGCTCACCATCAACCGACTCATTCCCGCTTTTGAATCACTACAATACCACTCCTAAACAATCTCCAGTATCACTATAATATCATCTTTTACAGATTTCAACATTTCATGAGCTTCTTAAGTTGATGTAGATATTAAAACTCATCCACCTTATTTACCACACCCCGTAAGAATTGCTATTAGCGGAAAACGCACAAAGTAAATATGAAAGCACTTACTATCTACATCGTTTTTATCCATTATCTTATCTAGTTCTTCCACGCAGATCCGCCAAAAACATAGAAAACACCACACGGGGGCACTGAATACGAGCTTTGTTGAAATCATGAATAAAATATGTGTTACTGGTCGTGCATTTCTGTTACACAACCAGCTGCTACCTGTCATATGAGATCTTAAATCCATTTAAAGATAAGCCTTGTAACTTGTTGATAAGTATCACATATTCAGGAAATGAGCATTTTATTGTTATACCAATGCTTACTCAAGGTTACTGAAGTGCGTAGAACTAGTTTAATTTTTTTACACTTACTTTGATGGGCTGTTACTGGACAGTATCTGTTAGATAATGCGCATAAAGCTTTTATTATTATTATTATTATTATTAAACAACAAATTTGAGTTGAGTACAAGTACTATAAACTCAAACACAAAAATAGATAATAGTGTACAGACAAAAGAAATATAACAATTTGACAATCTTAGCACTACTGAAGTAGACATATACAGAATGGGAACAATATGTTAAGCACTGCGGTGTCTATCGTAATTGTTTTTGAAACTGTTGACGGATTCCGAGTTCACTACATAAGATGGAAGACTGTTCCATGCATCGAAGACACGGTTTGAGATGAAGCGCTGACGAGTAGAGGTTCTAAAAGCTTCCTTCTGCAATTTGAAGTTATGGCCTCTGAGACTGTTCGTTGCCAGACGAAACAGATGCGACATGTCCACACCAAACAAATTATGCAGTGCTCTGAAAGTGATGATGAGATCTCCTCGTACTCTTCTATCAGCAAAAGCAGGCAGGTTATATAGCTCGAGGCGGTCTTCATAACTTGGCCTACGTGTGCCATATGGCATACGTGTTGCACGACGCTGAACGGCCTCTAATAAGCTGCTATCGCGAACAAGGTTTGAATCCCATACCGGACCAGCAAACTCCAGTAGGGGTCGTACGAAAGTTGTGTATAAAAAGGAGGAGGTACTAACGGTGCAACCGCTAAATGACCTTTCCATCATATATAGCAACCGCTTTGCCTTAGAGGTTATGTTCTGAATGTGCTCCGACCAGGTGAGCCGGCCATTAACTGTCAGACCAAGATCTGTGTGATGAAGAACAGACTCTAAGGTATGTTTGCCAATCTTATATGTTAAGTTAGGATTATTCTTTCCCAGGTGGAGAACGTAGCATTTCGATAGATTTAAAGGCAGGAGCCAGAGTTCTGACCACTTTCTGATCAGCTTGAGGTCTTCTTGAAGCACAGATGAGTTCATGACAGTGTTATAGACTTTAGTATCATCTGCATAGATGGAACACATAGAATAAAGTCGGGTGGGAAGGTCGCTTGTATAAAGAAGAAAAAGTATTGGCCCTAGCACAGATCCTTGTGGAACTCCACTAGTAACACGATGACTAGAAGAATAGGCGTCTCCAACACGGACGGAGAAAGATCTGTCTAACAAAAAAGCTTCAATCCATAACAACAAATTTCCCCTGATTCCGAGATGTTCAAGCTTGTGCAGGAGCCTTTTATGCGGAACTCGATCGAAAGCTCTGGAAAAATCCAGAAAAATCACGTCGACCGGTTCATTTGCGTCTAAAGATCTGGTCCAATTGTCAATGCAGTGTAACATGTTGGTGATAATTGATCTACCAGGAATAAAACCATGTTGGTTGTTCTTTCGGACAAAAAGCAAGTGCAAGAATTGGCTTGCAAACTATGCACTTTTAAGATTACCTAGACTGTAAACGTTTCCACTTTTTTCTATTACAAGTTGTATCCAATACTTACTCATTATTGTTGAAGTGCGTAGAACGCCTTTTTATTTTTCAATAAATGTATAAATGTTTGTGTTATTTTTATGTTTTTAAGTTGTGGATCAATTTAAATGTTTTCATTCAGATACTGTATGGTAAGTGATACTATTGATACAGCACTACGGCGGTTTAAAAACAAATTATACATTTTAATGATAGGTTATACAAAACAAGTACTTTAAGTGGTCTGGTCGACAATACAGGGTTTGCCAACAGAAAATATGCGGAATTATTGTGTACGGAAGAAATGTGGATGAAATGAAATTCATAAAAGAAGACAATACAAATATTTTTTATTAAACGGCATTATTATGACAGTATTGACAAATAAGACAGTTATGTTCTTGTTTTCAGTACGTCCTCGTAAAACTGCATAAGAACTAGTTCGTACGTCACAATAGCCCCAGCTATCTAAAAAAAAAAAAATATGCGGTTAAATTGTCTCACAATGCCAGCTATGAAAAATGGCGTCAAGCAGGTTGACTCGCACTTCCCATCAGCGCTTTCATTAGTTCATAAAGTGAGAAAGAATTTAGCTACGGATATCTATAACAAAAGCGGAGAGCGGTCAGCTTTCATACGTGACACCCCCCACACTGGGTTCTATGCATATTCGTTGCGCTGCCGTATGACAGATATGCGACACTTCTGTTGAAAATATTTCTCTCGAACGTATGATATATAGGGTGTTTCAGTTTATTGTTGCATAACTTTAAGATTCGATAGAACTTTCAAAATTAATGCATAAAGTCTATATAAACATGGGTCGAAAAATGCGTGGCTTCCGAAATACAGGGTGTTTAAGTTTACTTTCTAAAATAGTTTTTTTTTAAATATTTCGAACAATATTTGATGTATAACAGTGAAAATTGGTACACAAGGGTTTTTTGGTACGACAAGACGAACAATGGGCATAGTTTTACTGTAGCCGCTAGAGGGCGCTCTCTACTGTACCTGTAGTGTATTAAAAAAAATTTCCTAGTGCAATTTTTTACTTTTTGAATAAAAAAACTGATTCTTCGCACTTTTCAACATAAAAAAGCTCTCCTGTGAGTTTTCGTTACAGTCAGCCGTTTTTGAGATATTTCGATTTTTAAGGTTAGATGCATTTTTAATTATTTATGGAAAAATAATATTTTTTTTAACATTTTCGATTTGGGCATTACAAGTAATTAAGATGATCGTTTAGATTGTGTTTTTGAACACAGCAATAATTCCTAACTCCAAATAAACACAAAAAAACAGAATATTAATTTGTTTAATTTTCCAATTTATAACAAATTAAATTAATTATTTACGACTAAAATGCTATTGGATAGTTAGGACAAACATACAAAATCTAAAGTAGTTGCTCGAAATGTAAACCCAATTGTTCAATAAACAATTCACATCTACGAATGATCGAATGTGGTATTATAGCATTATTCAATTAAGGCCCTATTTCATCACATGCATTCCTGATTCTGTCTATTAGCATATCTCTTGTGGTTACGGGAGTCTGGTACACTTTTTCTTTTAGAAATCCCCACACAAAGAAATCTATTGGATTTAGGTCAGGGGATCGTGGAGGCCAGGCGACTGGTAATCCACGGCCGATCCATCTTTCTGGATAATTTTCGTCCAGCCAGTTTCTAACTAATAATGAGCTGGACAACCATCAAGCTGGAACCAGGCCAATCTTCTTAAATCTAACATAAAATCGTCCCACATATTTGCATGTTCAGCCTTTAAAAATTCCAATTCCATTTAACCTTGCAGGCAAAAGGTAGGGTCCAAATAGTCGATTACAGTGGATACCAATCCACACGTTCACACTAAATTCATGCTGAAAATTTCTTTCCTGAACTGCATGCGGATTTTCATGCGACCAAATATGTTAATTGTGAAAATTTACCACTCCACGTCTAGTGAAGCATGACTCATCGGTCCATAAAACGTTACTTAAAAACTCCCTATTATTATCAGTTCTATCAAGAATCCACTGACAAAATGTGATTCTTCGTTCTCCGTCCCCTGGCTGTAGTCCTTGCAAGGGTTGCAAATGGTAAGGACGTCTATGGTCATTTCTAAGAACACGCTGAACATGGTTTGCTGACATTCCCAAGGCACCAGAAACTCTCCTAACACTTGTGGTCGGATCTCTATCAAACTCACGCAGAATCATACGGGTAAGTCTGTGCTGACGAACATTTATGTTTTGATCCCTTTGGAGATTTCCAAAACCATTTTCAATTATTTGGCGATGCACGCTTCCAAATACTAAGCGAGTTGGATGTCATCTGTTTGGAAATCTTCGTGCGTATTCTCTGGCTGCTTCTGCTGCGTTTCCATTTACAAAGCCATACATAAAATGAATATCCGCTAACTCTTGATTGAAGAATAAAAATGGCATTTTAATAAAACTTACAAAAAAAAAACAGGTAAAGAAACTACATTTCGTGCATTCACAATTGCAAAAAAACGTTTCAGGTTTCAACAGACAACAAAACTAACTGTCAACTAATTGACGTTTAACCTTATTCTGCTTTAAATTTCAAAAATATTTGCAGACACAGCCTACTTCTAAAAATTATCGAAACTCTGACTTTTTAACGTTATTTTATCATAAATAATTAAAAATGCATCGATCCTTAAAAATCGAAATGTCTCGAAAACTATAACGAAAATTCACAAGAGAGCTTTTTTATGTTGAAAAGTGCAAAAAGTCAGTTTTTTTATTCAAAAAGCAAAAAATTGCACTAAGAACAAATTTTCAGTCATTTTAATACACTACAGGTACAGTAGACAGCGCCCTCTAGCGGCTACAGTAAAACTATGCCCATGGCTCGTTTTGTCGTACCAAAAAACCCTTGTATACCAATTTTCACTGTTATACATCAAATGTTGTCCGAAATATTTAAAAAAAACTATTTTAGAAAGTAAATTTAAACATCCTGTATTTCGGAAGCCACGCTTTTTTCGACCCATGTTTATATAGACTTTATGCATTAATTTTAAAAGTTCTATTGAATCCTAAAGTTATGCAACAATAAACTGAAACACCTTGTACTATAAAATATGTACTAAATATACTTTTACCAAGAATTGAGACGTACCCTCGCCTCCCAATTTCTCACCCTTCTGGAAAATTTTCAAAACTGAGCAGAAGCTTCCGGAACATCGACAAACAGAGTTTGAGCGAAATATATTTTTTTCGTTTCTCAGACATTTTTCTTCCCTGGCAAACATGTCAAAATTTCATCAACATCCGAACAGTACTTTCCAAATTATAGACGGACCAAGGACTTACAGAGAGACCGAAAGACAGACAGACCGATGGAAATGAGTACATTACGTGTAGCACCAAAAAGGCAAAATATCTCACTTTCGATTTTTTCCATGATCACAATACTATCTCGCCAGTGGCGCAGGAAGTAAAGGTGATTCCCGGTAACTTCGAAAATATACCAAGTTGTATACGCTTCTAGTAATGGGTGGGAGAAATTATCAATACTCTGTTCATAGAGAGGAGATGGGCTACTGAGGAACCCTAAAGCGTTTGACCAAAAAACAACTGATACTTACATGGAGAATGAGTCCTCTCTTGATGCTGAAAAAGTTCATGCCGGTCAAAAACAACTCCTTGGACTCGACAGTCTCTATAAATCTTTCAACCTGGAACAAAAAATCAGATACTAGGCCACTGGCATTAGATATTGGCTAAACGCCATCAGTTTTAACTCTCCAGGAATGTCACCTAAAAATTCGAACATTTTCTAACTTCAAATTACTTATTTGAGCAACCGTCGGTGTATCTGACATTGTTGCCAGTTAACTAGGGTCTGTCCCTAAGACGATATGCTTATTTTTGTCATGTTTTTATTCATAAACTAATCCTTATGTCAAAACCTATATACTTAAGAGAAAAGCTGATCTTTAGGCGTAATATTCATCAAAGACTTATTAGATTTCCAGATTTGATAACTACACCTATTCACTCCACTACTTTATTCCAGCGTTCTTTCACGTACAGGGCTTCAGTGTTATACAATGCCTTGAGTCCTGAATTCAAAACCATGTCCTTAAATTGCTTCAAGAAAGCTGTCAAATCTCATATTTACTTGGATCCATAGTCTTAATTAGATTGCTATAGATATATTGTTAAATGATTCATTTCCCTTGTGTACATGTAGCAAACCTTGGTGCAACATGTACGTATGTAATGTGTGTATATGTATGTATGTATGTACATGTGTATGTATATATGTATGTATATTTTGTTTGATATCTGCTACTTAACAACTTGTTTTTTTTGCATGGGTGGTTAAGTGTAAGAGTAGCATGTTGCTAAACTTCGCCACCATATGCAACTCTTGTTTTTCTGTATGAAGTACAGTTTAAATAAAGACGATTATTATTATTATTATTATTATTTGCTTCGTATGGCTTTTTAAACATTTTTTGTCAGTTTGGCAACACCGCCTCGGTATATGCAGAGACAACTGCTAGGACCTAGAGTAAGAATGGACTGGATTCGTCGTAATGAAGCTTGTGTGGAAAGTGGAGGACGACATTTTGAACACCTTCTTTAAATACAAAAAAGGTGCAGTGTGGGTTTTTAAAAGAAAAACAATGTATGTATCAAAATTGTGTGCCCTATTTATAAGCGGATTTTTTTAATACGTTCAATAAACTTTCACACACCAGGTGAAGTGCTGAGATAGTTAGTGATCCATTTTTTTTATTGTTTGCATCTTTATTTACACTTCGTTCCGTCGTAATTTGCGTCTGGAATTGCGGCGATGTCAGATTTTATTTTACTTCAAAGTCGCTTTTCTCTAAAAAAATGCCGTTTTGACCCCCATGTTAAATGAAAAATTTTGCTTCTTTTACCCCCTCTATCACCCATTTATATACTAAGTGACATATAAATCCGAACATCCAGTTTAAATGGTTTTATTTTAATAAAATTTTGTATAAGTACTTAATGAAGCATAATAAGTAAATGATAAAAATTTCAAAAAGATTGCACTGCTTTAAAGCCCTTTGACCTTTAATAATGCGTGGATGCACCCTGATGTGCTACGCATTCTCCAACGCGCCTAGGCAGGTGGTCAATGTCCTCCTGTGGTGTCTCATTCCAGGCAACCACCAACTCCTCTCGAAGTGCTTCTAGAGTCTGAGGAGGACGTTGCAAATTGAGCAATCTCCTACCCATCATATCCCACACGTGCTCAATTGGGTATAAGTCGGGAGATCTTGGTGGCCACGGTAACAATGTGACATCATTATGTTGAAAGAAGTCTATTGTGACTCTTGCAACATGTGGTCGGGCATTATCTTGTTGGAAAGTTGGATCTGCCAGGGTGTCAAGATAGGGTAAAAGATGGGGTTCTAGAACTTCGTGGATATAACGCTGCGCGTTCATGTTACCTCTGATGAAGATTAAAGGTGACCTGGAACCATAAGCTATAGCACCCCAAACCATAACTCCAACAGTGTGATGAACATGTCTTTCAACAAAAAACTGTGGATTCCTCCTTTCACCAGTCGCCTTCTAATCCTGGCACGACCATCGTGCATGCCTAAATAAAATCGAGACTCGTCACTAAAGACAATACTGTTCAATTCCTTATCCCAGAGTGACCGTTGTCTGCACCACTCAAGGCGATTACGTCGGTGTTCTCGAGTTAACGGGAGGACCCAGTGTGGCCGGTATGAAAACAAGCCAAAACTTCTCATTCGTCGGTAAGCACTTCGCATGCCAATAGGTTTTCCGTGTTCTGCAAACCATTCATTTGCAATGGATCTGGTAGTGGAGAAATGGTCCCTTAAGGCCAATAATCTTAGGCGGCGATCTTTACAGTCTGTTGTTCTACGGCGGCGTCCAGTGCCCCTTGCTCTTTGCGTACGGCCTTCTCGAAGCCATGCCTGACAACACCTAACCACAGTGTCTACACTTCTTTGCACTCTAACTGCAATTGCCCGAAAAGAAAGTCCAGCTTCCGGAAGTCCCACTATACGGCCCCTGTCAAACTCACTAAGTTGACGAAATCGTACAGGTCTCCGTACTCTAGGCATCGTAACCGATCGTAAAGGATGTCAAGAACCATAATCCGCCAACGTTGATTCTTTACTGCGGCTGAAATATTCATTTTTAGAGCGTTAGTGAATTAAAAAAAACAGTATAAAAACCGGAATGTCCGACTGATAAGGCTGAAAATTTTTTCACTTGTTATTTACAGTAAGATAAATACATTCACCGACTTTTATTAAAATAAAACCATTTAAACTGGGTATTCGGATTTATATGTCACTTAGTATATAATGACTATCATAACCTTTACACCCTGTATGTTAAAAACTAGTCAAATCTTACTATTACTACTCGGAATTTTGCTAGGAATAATATTGATGCATGTCCTGATTCCCTATATATGCCACCAGTTTCAGAATAAGACGTTTTAATTTGGTATCCCAGTAAAAAAAATCTCAATTCTTGTCGTTATGTCTCTATCGATTTTGATTCATTTGTCATTTGAATAAGGAAAGCTTACAAGCTCTTTAAAACTAGCATTAGCTATACCATAAAAGAAAAGATCCCATAGATTATACTAATTACCGAGGCATAAGAGGCTTGTATTTACATTTACGAATTATTCTCAATATTTATGCATAAAAATAAATTGAACCTCTTCAATAACAAACAAGAACACGATTATCAGACTCGATCTAAAGATTTGCTGATACTCGTACCCTATCAACATCGTCCTGCAGGATATCAGAAATCTTCGAGTTACATGGGTTGTAAAGTTTTCAATCATTTCAAAGAAAATACTCAAAAAGCATCGATATTAAGCAATTTAAAAATCAGAGGAAGTCATTTCTAAAAGTGTTGTTATAGCTTGGAAAAGATTTGTGCATGTGAAAGTGTATGTGTCTTCTTGCAACGATCTTCTTTTCGCCTTTGTGTTGCTACAGTATATTTAACAATGAAATAAATGTATTAGTTTCTAATATTATTATTTGGTAAATACATTATTATTTGAAGCAAACTGGATCACGTTATGCTAACCTCAATATTGTACGCCCAATGCGTCACAGAATCCAAAAGTCCCCGGATCTTCCTCCATTCTTCGTTCACTCCAGATCCGAAAATGATGACAGCCGCTATTCTGCTGAGAAGCAAGAAAAACGAGATCATCGAATAGCTTTTCAAAAACGCGTGCTCCATGTTTCTCAGTGTATTGAACATTTGTAGCAGGACGAAGTAAAGATTGATGCAGAATGTGGATACTATCATCGCTGCGAGCTGATCGTTCACCTTCATGTGCATTGCTGAGAAGAGCAGGTAGTCTTTTCGTAACGTATACCAAGTTGTTTTGTCCATGACCTAAAAAAATGCTGAGAAATTACCTAGATGTATACTAAGTGAAATATAAATCCGAACACCCAGTTTAAATGGTTTTATTTTAATAAAAGTTGGTGAAAAAAAATTTTTCAGCCGGTTTTTATACTGCTTTTTTTTTAATTCACTAACGCTCTAAAAATGAATATTTCAGCCGCAGTAAAGAATCAACGTTGGCGGATTTTGGTTCTTGACATCCTTTACGATCGGTTACGATGCCTAGAGTACGGAGACCTGTACGATTTCGTCAACTTAGTGAGTTTGATAGGGGCCGTATAGTGGGACTTCGGGAACCTGGACTTTCTTTTCGGGCAATTGCAGTTAGAGTGCAAAGAAGTGTAGGCACTGTGGTTAGGTGTTGTCAGGCATGGCTTCGAGAAGGCCGTACGCAAAGAGCAAGGGGCACTGGACGCCGCCGTAGATCAACAGACCGTGGAGATCGCCGCCTAAGATTATTGGCCTTAAGGGACCGTTTCTCCACTACTAGGTCCATTGCAAATGAATGGTTTGCAGAACACGGAAGATCTATTGGCATACGAAGTGTTTACCGACGAATGAGAAGTTTTGGCTTGTTTTCATACCGGCCACACTGGGTCCTCCCTTTAACTCGAGAACACCGACGTAATCGCCTTGAGTGGTGCAGACAACGGTCACTCTGGGATCAGGAATGGAACAGTATTGTCTTTAGTGACGAGTCTCGATTTTGTTTAGGCATGCACGATGGTCTTGCCAGGGTTAGAAGGCGATGTGGTGAAAGGAGGAATCCACAGTTTTTTGTTGAAAGACATGTTCATCACACTGTTGGAGTTATGGTTTGGGGTGCTATAGCTTATGGTTCCAGGTCACCTTTAATCTTCATCAGAGGTAACATGAACGCGCAGCGTAATATCCACGAAGTTCTAGAACCCCATCTTTTACCCTATCTTGACGCCCTGGCAGATCCAACTTTCCAACAAGATAATGCCCGACCACATGTTGCTAAGAGTCACAATAGACTTCTTTCAACATAATGATGTCACATTGTTACCATGGCCACCAAGATCTCCCGACTTATCCCCAATTGAGCACATGTGGGATATGATGGGTAGGAGATTGCTCAATTTGCAACGTCCTCCTCAGACTCTAGAAGCACTTCGAGAGGAGTTTGTGGTTGCCTGGAATGAGATGACCACCTGATCATAAGCATGCCTAGGCGCGTTGGAGAATGCGTAGCACATCAGGGTGCATCCACACATATTAAAGGTCAAAGGGCTTTAAAGCAGTGCAATCATTTTGAAATTTTTATCATTTACTTATTATGCTTCATTAAGTACTTATACAAAATTTTATTAAAATAAAACCATTTAAACTGCGTGTTCGGATTTATACGTCACTTAATATAACTCTGTACAAACAAAATTAGACCAATAAAATCAATCACTAAAGCCCGACCAGCATCTAGTTTCGTTGAAAAAACAAGAATTGACGTATGCAGCACAAATGAAATTAAGAGCAGAGGGAAACGTAAAACTGCAAAAATATTCAATGTTCTATTTAACCTCGTTCTTTCAGACGTCAATTTTTATAAAGTTTTTATGTTAAAGAATCCTTCTTCTTCGGCAATCACTACAATATTCTAATGATCCACCATATTGGATGCCCCATATTGAATTTCTGTTTTTTGACAGCAGATTTAAAATCACCCTTCTGTACCAAATTTCGTGAAGATGCTGCAGAAGCTGTATCGTTAGCCAGCTTTTTGGGTGTTCTAGACCAACGCATATAGGTGCAAATGGATCCAGAAACTGTCCATTAGAGAAGAGTGATCGACCAGTCGGACATCCGTCCTTTGAACAGAATCGAGCACGATAGAAGGTGGCAAGTATCATTAATTGTCCTTTATTCCAATACTTTTGATATTCTTACCTTAACTTGCACTACGAGCATAATTTTATGTGTGATTTGTCTCAATCTAAATTTCAGGGACTCTCCTGTTATCATTATGAAGACGTCCGCATAGTTCCAGATGAATGCACCTTGCAAAGACAGATACTGAAAGTAAATGATTCTTATTACATACTCAAAGATCTCACGCTCCGTGCGAGTTTTTGCAATGGTCAAGAGCTAGTCAGTACTGGTCTTATGAATAATAAGATTTATCAAGTGCACCGTTTTCTTGATTTCAAACGTGTCATCCTCAAATAAATCTATTTAGCAAACACCAAAATGGAGGAGAATAACGTAAACTCACTAGGAGTCTTTGAAAACTGTTAGACAAGAACGCAATATTACTAGAGTCACATATGAAGTGCTTGAACCGAATTTTCAAGGCCTTGATGATTCATAAAATAAAATCCTACAGTATATTCAGATAAGAGATAGACCGGATGTAAACAAAAGGTTCGGGTGATTTTCACGCTAACGCCGCCGTCTCGACGTAAATTCTCATTGGTCAATTCGCAATTAAATGCCTATGCCGAGCGGCAGAGCAGTCGTATCAAGGCAGAGTCACATTCAGGTTCAGACGTGTTACGTATGTCGTGTGCATCATTGCAATTTAATATTTCTTTGGACGTTTTCTTTTGTTATCTTATTAAGTTGTTGAGTTAGTCGTTGTTATTGTTATACCTTGTTATTGATTGTTATTGTTGTCAACTGCTTGCGCAAAATGCCCATTTGTACAGATACTGCCGATGAAGTTGTAAACTCCTGTAGTCCACCTAGGAAACGCTCTAAAAAAAGACACCTGAGTGCAGAAATGAAAGAGGTCATTTTGAATATATATAAGATCGAGCGCGAGGAGAACGAGGCATCAACCATCAAAGAAATTGTTGTGAAGGTTTCTCACAAAGTTGGGGTGAGTAACACCAGTAAACATCGCAAAAGTATTGTTAAATCATTGGATGAAGCTGATAAGCATGCGATTAGGAGGAAAGTGCATGAATTCTTCTTTAGGAATGAAATACCTACTATAGATAAAGTACTGCAGGAGGTAAATGGAGATACAACGTTGCCAAATTTCAAACGATCAACTTTCCATGCGTTACTGAAGCATTTAAATTTCAAATGGAAAAAACGGGGTCGTAATAGTTTACTACTGGATAGAGAAGAAATTGTGCTATGGAGGAGGGATTATTTAACAAAAATTGGGAAATATAGAAATCAAAACAGGAAGATTTATTACCTTGATGAAACGTGGGTAAACGCAGGACACACTACAAGTAAAGTATGGGTTGATGATTCTGTAACTTCATCCAGAAGGGCCTTTCTAGATGGACTGTCCACCGGATTAAAAAATCCAGCAGGTAAATACGAGTAATAGACAACAATCGGATGTTTTTCAAACCTTGGGAACAAGGTTCTAAACATTAATTCCAGGGGGCAGATAAAACATATTACAAGTAACAAAACTTTTATAACTTTCGATAAAATGCGTGGATGTTTTATTGTCATTTTCATTTGTTAGAACTTTTTTAAGCCATGTTTTTATGTGTTTTCGATATTTCAATAATTTTTTAATATAATCTTATAATATGTCGAATCTTATAAACTTAAAAAAAGTTACTAAGTTTTATATTGTGTACCGTTCCTAATATTTCTAATCATTTTAATTCATACTTTAAGCTTTATAAAGTTATAATTTGTTAATATTAATATTTGCGCGTATTTCAGGTTCCTGATCATTCATTTTTTAAAGGTTTATAACTTTAAATTAAATTGTGAAGCGCTGAGTAATCATACGTCGTTCAATATTTTTTCTTTCAATATGACTAAATAATCCCAATTATAGCAATCTGATACTCATGTTTCAATGTTTTTTCGCTGAATGTGATGAAAACATTTGAAAAAGGTTCGCTTATTGAAATAAATCTACACCAGTTAGTACTTCGATTTCCAGGTAAAGGGAAAAGGCTCATTATCTGCCATATTGGCAGTGAGGATGGATTTGTTGTTGACGGTCTGTGGTGCTTTGAGTCTAAGAAAACTGGAGATTACCACGAGGAAATGAATGGTGAATCGTTTGAACAGTGGTTTTCAAAAATTTTACCGAACTTAGAGGAAAACGCAGTAATTGTGTTGGATAATGCGCCTTATCATTCTCGAAGAATGGAGAAAGTCCCAACAACGGCTTCAAGGAAAGTTGATGTTCAAAATTGGCTCCGCTCGAAAAATATCAACTTTGAAGAAGCAATGCTGAAAGTACAATATTATTAAGAATTGTCAAGGATCACAAGGCGGAATATCAAAAATACGCCATTGACGAAATGGCAGCAAGTCAAAATAAAACTGTGCTTCGTTTACCTCCATACCATTGCGAGCTCAATCCCATTGAGCTCATATGGGCAGAGGTTAAAAATTATATAGCTAAGCACAATACAACTTTTAAATTTTGTGACCTCAAAGGACTTTTCAAAGAAGCACTAGAATTAATAACAGCGCAAAAATGGGAAAACTGTATTAAGCACGTGAAAGAGAAAGTTGAAAAGAGAATGTGGGAACTGGACAATATTTTAGAGGAACAAGTCGAGCCATTCATTATTGACGTTGGTGCTTCAGGCAGTAGCGATGATGAAAGCTCATCAAGCTCATCAAGCTCATCTTTCCAATAAAAGATGTCGTTCATCAAATTCGGTAAGTTATAAGTAATTATAAAGCTACTGTATTTTTTAATTAATTATTGACATTTTTGAACCCATTTTGGCAAAACCTATTCATGAATCTACTTTCTGACAATGTTCAACCATGCACATTTTTTTACGTTTTGAACGTTTTAATTTGGTTACATATTTACCTAGAAATCAAAAAATATACTAATCAATATTCTAAAAGCAATTTTAAGAGATATACGATTATTTTTAATTTAGGCTAATTTAAAGGCCATTTTGAGATTATATTCGACTGTATTTCACCAAACATCAGGCGGCATCCGAAGCTGGAAATCGAAGCGAAAATTTTGAAACCCTTATGTATATTTACATCATTATATATTTCTTACCCCACCCCCACATGATCCTATATCCATCACCAATCGTATACACATCAAATTGTGCTAATTTACTACAAAGTTACGCAAAGCAGCATCTACTATCTAAAATATGTACTGCGTGACTCTTAATACGTCCCTGCCGAATGTTACAGCGTTCGATGATCACGTGGTCTTGTTTATGTCCGGTCTATCTCTTATCTGAATATACTGTAGAAAAAATGTTAAACTTGCCTGTAGTAGCAGACCTTTCCAAAGCGAATATTGGATTACTTTGAAAAATGCCGGATAAGCTCTCTCGGAGTAGTATACCCTTAAGCCTTCTAGAACGCTCTCTCCGTGTATGAAACATGATGATATGTGGTGAACGTTGATCAGAGTATGCTCCACTATAATGAAAATATATGTATTTTATGCAACTGAGTATGCCGTAACAGATCAGTTCACACTGTGTTTATTTGTTCAATTATTGCATAGTACATCACTGCTATAGTCAACGCCAAACAAAGTGGCGTGCACGTCATCACGATAAAAATTCCCCGACCTAATGCCTAGGTTTCTATCACAAACAATTGCTCTATTGCAGTTTCATATTAATGTGATATATAAATTGTAAAATGGTCATTACTCTCTTATTATGGTTAATAGTCATATAAACATTGTTATTAAAATATCACATAACTTGCTTTCTGATAAATTTAGACGCATTATGCGAAATAAAATGTTTTGCAAACGCTCCAATCACTTATCGACATGTAAACGCACTAAACCGATTTCGCAGCGTTGACACATTGTCACCTTGAAACTTATTTAAACTGGGAACTGACATTTGTATTAATTTTGACACTGAATCAATTTGTGGCATTTCAAATCTTTATAAATCCTTTGGCCCCGCATACTGTAAATCAACAACTGTTTGTTTCAAAACAAAATTATTCATTTTACGAGTAGATAAAGGCAATTTTGGTATATAAAGATGCCCAAACAGTTAAATAGTCGGTGTAAGGAACTCGTGGCCTCGTTAATGCACTACTTTGAGCAAGAAAGGGACAACAACGGGCCTTTGTTGCCTTTAAATGCTGTTCAAGAGGTAGGTTACTAATAATTATATGTAATGTATATTAATAATAGTGAAATTTTATTTCATTTTTTGTAGCGTGTTGCTGCAGCTTTAAAAATTAGTTTAAGGACAGTTAGTCGTATTTCCGAGGGTGTGAAAAGTGATGCAAATTTAGAATCGCCCAAGAAAAAGCGGAGTTATATTAAACGTGTAACCAACACAGCGACATTGGATACAAGTGCCATTCGAGAAGTGATCTATAATATGTATCACAAAAGTAAGATCTTATTATAATAACTTATCAGAAATTTGCATTAATTTGTTAACTAAATTATAATGTCATATTACACATGGTTTCAGAAGAACAAGTTACGATACAAACTTTATGGTCTCGATTAAGAGATAGGGCATTATTTGATGGTAGTGCCACGTCTTTAAGGCGGTTGCTTAGAGATCTTGGATTTAAGTGGCTTAAGGACAATCCGCGACCAGGGCTCATGGAACTACCAAGTATAGCTTTGAAAAGGGTGGAATTTCTAAGGCAATACAATCAAGCCAAGGTTGAGGCCTTATACCAGTTTGTCTTCCTCGATGAAACTTGGATATTTCAAAATGGGACCATAGGTCGCTCTTGGCAAAATGGAAACCAAAAAAGCGTGAAAGCTATTAAAACAGATGGTAAAAGGTATGTACTTTTACACAATTTGCACTATAACATTTAAAACTAATATATTTTAGATACATTATATTACATGCTGGAAATGAAAATGGGTTTATTGAGGGTAGTGAAGCGATATTTTCTTCGAAAACAAAATTGAGCAATTACCATGGAGAGATGAACCAGGACAATTTTTTGAAATGGTTTCAACATCAGTTATTAGAAAAATTGGAGAGTCCATCTATGATTATACTGGATAACGCCCCTTATCACAGCATGATATTGAACAAAGTGCCCAACAATGCATGGACAAAAAAAAATATCCAAGACTGGTTGACAAATCAAAACATACCATTTTTAAACACAATGTTTAAAACAGAGCTATTGAGTATTGTTGCTCGGTACATAATGCTTCTTAATTATATATATTTTTTTCGACAGTTTATATTTCTTTTGTTTATTCCTATTCTTAAAATAACTGCTTTTTTAGAAACAAACCACCTAAAATATACGTGATTGATGAATTGGCGGAACAACATGGGCACAAAGTTCTTCGTCTGCCTCCTTACCATTGTATATTTAACCCTATTGAGTTAATTTGGGGCATAGCAAAAGGTTACTATAACAGACATATTGGTAGAGATGGTAACAGTGAAAAAGACTGTTTGGATATGTGGAACGAGGCTCTACAAACGGTTACCCCAGACATGTGGAAAAATAGTGTTCGACATACTGAGCAAGAAATTTTTAAATGGTATGAAAGAGAACGAATTTTTGATCGACCAGACATCGAACCTTTAATAATCAACTTTGAGAGTGATGAAGATTCAGATTCAGACAGCGCTGAAGAAAGAAACTCCGACTAACTTTATTGTACAGAAAAAGCTTACACCAGTAGCTTACCTAATTTTAGAATGCATTTTTCTGTATGAATTCTGTAAAATAAATACCATGCATAAAATTTGGAGGACCCCATTTGGATTTTTATTCAGTACCTTTAAGCTATCAATTAAATATGGTAGTTTCATAGTGTCATCTGATCAATAATTGTCATACTTAATGATTATGCAAGTACAGATCTATAATTTTATTATACTATTATTTTTGTTCTCATTTGAGGTTAATATTGCTTATAAACCTAGATATGTAAATAATAAATTTTATTATTTTACAAAAAGTTTGGCAACAATGTAAATTTTTCAACACCCCCACCTTGATGACGTGCACGCCACTTTGTTTGGCGTTGACTATAATAGCCTTGTGCATACTTAATATTCCACCTGATTGACGGGTTGTCCTTTCAATGATCGTGAGAGACGCCTGTCTGTTCTCAAAGCGGGACTGCGCTTCATGTTTCATGCTTTATTACCATTCTCAGTACATTAATAAGTAAAATCACATTGTTAGTTGTAACGGGTGATTCATTTAAAGGTACTTTTTTGGTGTGGCTGTAATTGCTTATGGCGCATGTGTCATGACAACTAATTTGACATTTTCTGTTTCAGTATTGTTCGACATTTCATCATGGAAAGATTTAGTCCAGCACAGCGTCTACAAATAGTTCAGCTGTACTAAAATTTGAAACCCGATTTTCATTATTGGATTATACCCGACCAAATAGACCACATCCAGCACGCAGTGAAGAAAATATAGCTGCGCTAGCTGAGAGTATACGTGAGGACCGTGAAGAATCGATTCGGCGCCGTTCTCAACAGCTTGGCTTGTCGTATTCAACAACTTGCCGTATTTTACGTAAGAATCTTAATTTGAAACCATACAAAATTCAACTCGTTCAAGAACTGAAGCCGGCCGACACTTCCAAAGCGTCATCGTTTCAGTCTTTGGGCTCTTGCACGGCTTGAAGAAGATCCGATGTTTTCGAGCAAAATTTTGTTTAGCGATGAGGCCCATTTTTGGCTTAACGGCTACGTTAATAAACCACACTGTGGTATTTGGGGTGAAGAACAACCCGAAGTGGTTCAAGAGCTGCCATTACATCCAGCGAAAACAACGGTTCGGTGTGGTTTATGGGTCGGTGGAATCATCGGTCCCTATTTTTTTAAAAATGAGGCCGGTCAGAACGTAACTGTGAATGGTGCCATGATAACGGATTATTTGCTGCCTGAAATTGAAGCCCGTAATCTCGATGACATTTGGTTCCAACAAGCCACACAGCCCGTGCAACCACGGCTTTATTGCGAGAACATTTCGATAAACACTTAATTTCACGATTTGGACCAGTGAATTGGCCACCTAGATCATGTGATATCACACCTCTAGACTTTTTCCTTTGGGGCTACGTTAAGTCCAAAGTCTACATTGATAAGCCCAATACGATTGAGGAATTAGAAGCCAACATTACGCAGGCCATTCGCCAAATTCCAGTCGAAATGCTGCAACGTGTCATCGAAAATTGGAACTTTAGAATGGACCATCTCAACCGCAACATTTGAAAGAAATAATATTTAAAAAATAAATCTCAAAAATAGTTATTTTCTTTAATAAAAAAGATTTGACAAGAAAAAATAATTTTGTTATTTTATTTTGTTGCTTAAAAAAGTACCTATAAATGAATCACCCATTACCTATTACCAGTTATATAATTTTTACACTACTACATTTGACTATCTTTAAAGAATATTGGTTGAGTAATGTGTTTCAGAAGACACTTGCTGTTTACATCATAAATTTCTTGTTATTAATATACAGGTTGTTTGGTGCATCGTTTGCCAAATTGAAATGGCGGTCAGGGGAAGTCCTCTTCTGTCACCCCAGTTTTTAGCCCAACGGCATTAATTATATAGATTTTTTGGTTATTTTTAGTAAAAACTCCAAAATATAATACACAAAGTGAAATAAAAAAAATAAAGAATATGTCCACCTAATGATCACTGATCAACAGCCAAAAAATATCCTAAATAAAATCCACAAAATATTACTATTTTTAATGTGCTAAAACCGGAATGAAACATATTTTTTCAATATTAGTTCAAGTTTCAAGTTTTAGAGATACGGTAATTATATGTATTCCCGCTGTGACAGTGTTAATATACTGTAATTCACAAGAATGCACGTGCTACATTTTTATATTCGGCAAGGAAAGATGATGTAATCGGAATGATTGTGTTACGTTATACATACGTGTACATTATATTGTTTTATATTAGCCATTTCTTCCTCAGTTGGCTGACAGCGTTCATGCAAGATGTCTCGAAAGTGTGTAAACAATCCAGATCAGTTTTGTTACGCGTGTGGTGATGTGACTTTTGCGTCTCAGAGACGGTCTATTACTCCACTAATAACAAAGGCATATCAGCTTTATTTCGGTTGTAAACTAGGTGATCAAGACAAACAGTGGTTAAATGGCAAAAAACGGTCTATGCGCTTTGCTGTCCCAATGGTTTGGAGATAGCCTACAAATCATATTAATGATTGTTACTTTTGCATGGTACCTTGTGTTGGACAAGCCACAGGTGTGTCCAAGAAAAAAAAATCCGTTATTAACTACCCAAACATACCATCTGCGATGAGACCTGTGCCTCACAGTGACGAAAATCCTATTCCAAAACCCCCAGAATCCTACACTTGCGAATCAGAAAACGAATCAGATCATGGCGATCGAGTGATTCGTCAGGAAGAAGATATGCCATCAACGTCAGGAGATCCTGATTTTATACCAAACAAGTAATGCCACCAACCGCACAAAATAAGA